TGCTGACCCACTAGACAGAGCCTTTTAAGAAAACGCCCTACTCAGGATCCATTTGTTCTAAGAACCAACTGTGGGCTTGAAAAAGAAATGGGCGAAACCAGGTTATTAAAAAAAGAAACCCTAAAGAAATTTAAATATAGTACTTTAAAAAGTGATAAGGATTAATCGCATCAAAATTACCTTAAATTCAGAAGTGCTTCAGGTCTGGTCTCCAATACACACAAAATTACCTGCAACAGACAGAGAACAGGATGTGTTTTAATTGCATTCAGGCTTCAAGGAACGACAATCCGTCCACTTTAGGGAGCAGTAAACGCACCCCCTTTCCCATCACCCGGACTAGTCCTAAATCATTTTACTTGGTACTTTGTATTAACCTAGCATTCAGTTCTTCGGTGTGAAAAGAAATCTAATTTCAATTTCTTTTCGAAAACTCTTTAGCGCCTCAGGGAAAATACCCTAAATTAAACCGAAAAGTATTGGAAGGAAGCGGTGTTTAGAATCCTGTTACTAGAAAAGTCACAGTAACAGTAAAAAAAAAAAAAGCACCTCAGTTCAAAGAAGCTTCTGAGTAATCTGTTGCAGACTTCCCCTCAGACAAGGAGGGGACCTCATCTGAATCCCAAAAGCAAGCCCTGGCCAACACTGCCCGAGTGCCTGTGGGTGCCACCCCAGCCTGGGCCCAAGGTCCAGGAGGCGGTCACTGGGAGCCAGACGCCCCAGTGCTGCCCTCAACGCTCCTCCCACCACACGGCAGCCAGAACGAAAACATACTGAATTCTGGATTTCTTCTGCACTATCGCCTGTTTCTTTCTGGAAACTGAGTTTCAAAATGTCTAAGTATGTTTTCTAACCTCTCCAAGTTAAACTCTGAGTGCAGGGCCACTTGGGATGTTTCACAGGTTACCGCCTGCTTGTCGGCTGACGGACAAACCCCCCTGCACATTCTAGCCCAGAGGGCGCGTGACGTCTCAGGAAGTGGAAATGTCCCCCCGTGGAACTGTGAATCCTAAGGCACTTATTTAACAAAACATTTTCCTTTGGCAATCACGCTACGCTGCACATGCTGCGACCAAGCTCGGGCTTGTCCCGCGCAGCCGTGGGGCAGGGGCAAGCAGCCTCTCTGCCGCTGGACATTCAGTAGCACCCCTGCCCCAGCCGTGCCAACCCGAACCGTCTCCAGACACCACTACGTGGCCCTGGGGGGCAACGTAAGGCCAGGCGGGATCTGCTCATTTAAAGTGATTGTCACAATTACTGCAATCTCCAAATACAAATCCTTTCAGGTATTTTCCACATGAAGAGAAGAGACAGGTGGAAAAATAAAGATCGTATGAAAGATGTATCATGGTTTGCTCGAATTCAAATGCCCAGATTGCCTTGTGGCTCAGAAGGCCACCGGAGTGTCCCCGCCCCCTAGCGCCTACATGGTGGGAGGGAGAGTGCTGAGGGCGCCACCAAACCCACCACGGCCAGGATTCTCTCGCGGGGGTGTCCGGACGCACCTCTGCCTGAAAAGACCCAAGGGGGGGCTCTCCTCCTGACTGTCCTGTGCAGGGGACAAAACCACTGTCCCAGGCGGCAGCACACCAATGTGACCTCGAAACAGGAGCCACCCCCCAGAAGAGCAGGGACTGGGGTGCAACAAAAGCACAGCCATCGCTGTTGCCACTGCAGAGGGCCAGGGGCTGACAACGAGGTGGCTGCACCTGGCTGCGGGCGCCTGGAGGGGCGGCCGGAGAGGCCACTCTGGGTACGGAGAAAGGCGGCCCGGTTCCTCTGAAGACAGCCCCAGGGGCAGCCGCTCCACACTCGATTTTCTCTAGTTAATCTTTTTAGTAGCAGCAACCCGTAAGGGAAGTTCTAGGAGGGTAAGGGAAGATACAAACATAAAATCCAAGAAAAAGGTTGAACAGTTTATAGACCCACTTTTAGTTAAAATTCTAAATGTATGTAAAATAAAATTCGAACCATAGATTTAAAAAAATAGAAATGTATCATCACTTTCACAGGCAAACCCAACACTGTCAGCATCCCGACCCCTCTCCCACCCGACGACACCGACAACAGAGGCGTCCTCCGCCTGCAGAAGGCAGGAAGGAGCACTGTGGTCCAGCCGTCTCCTCTCATCCTCTGGCAGCTCAGCCCCAGGCTTCCAGAACATGCCCCCTGCCCCTGAGCCTGTGTCAGGCCTTTGGGCTTTGAAGTCTATCTGATACAACGTCGTCACTTACTGACGCGACGAGTCCAAGCCCCGGAACCCCCATTCACTCAACACACTGCCAACGCCTGGAACGTCAGCCGCCACGCTGGATGCTGAAGGTGCGGGGTCTCACGCCCGGCGGGGAAAGCATGGAAAATTATCCCACAATGCAGAGCGAAGAAAGAGAGGGGGCTCTACCCCTACAAACGAAACTAAGCAAATCCAAGGAAGCTAGTTTCACACGGGCCTGTGCTTCAGGTGAAGTGAAGGCCAGCCGTGCACGGGTCCCCTCGCGCCACAGGCCGAAGCTGGAACAGGCCACAGGCCCGGGGGAGGGGGGAGCTGAGTCAGAGCACAGCTGCCCTGCATCCCGGTCAGAGCAGAGAGGCCTCCTGACAACAGAGGGCGGGAGCTGGGCTGGACTCTGAGCCCTTCTCAGCAACGCGGGGTACCAGGGTTCACTCTAACGGGTGTCCGACAGCCCAGGTGGTCTGCCCCCGCCCCCTAGCGTCTGCCCCCTCAGAGCGGAGTCCCCAAGACGGAGTTATGACATCAAAGGCTGGGTGGCTTAAGACCCTTGATTAAACCAATGCTCGGAGCCTATGCTCTGACGCTGTGGAGTTCATTCAGCAATGTTAAACACGACTGAGACAGGCTCCTCCGTACAGAGACACGCTGCCACATCGTGAAGGTTTAAGTACCAAAGACTAGACGCCCCCGAGACACCCCTGGAGAACACCCTACCAGCCGCGTTCCAAGTTCAAACGAAGCAAAGGCGCACCTGCACCGCCAGAGCCCCGGACGGGGCACATGCCGCTGCGCCGTCGCCGACTGCCACATGGAGGCCGAGGCCCCGGCCCAGATGGACCGAGAGCAGATATACAGCAGCGTCCCGCCCCGTGTGTAGTCACAGGTGTGTCACAGGCTTTACGGTGTTTAACCACAGCCCTATAGGGACTGTGCACGTGACACATGGACCACCTGACCTTTACCAGCCCTGACACAGGCCACGCCAGGCACATGACCAACCCTGCGAGCTCTGCAGGGAGGACTGGGAGCCGGTGAGAGACGAGGTACACGGCCCGCTGCTGAGTCATTCTCCAGGACCAAGATGTCTGGAACAAGCAGGGAGCGCGCCGATAACGTGAAGGCGAGCCCCTAGCCAGATTTACGGCCATCTGAGGGTAAAAAGGAAGAACTAGAATAGAACGTATCTCATTGAGAAAAAAAGGAACACAAACGTACACAGTAAATAATAAGTAAAACAAAGAAACCAGAGCAAAAGTAAAACTTTTTACAAAGGAATGTAAAACAGATGCAGGAAGAATGACAGATTTAGAAAACCATGTGTGGGGCTCTGGAGTGTGGGGCTCTGGAGTGTGGGGGGCTCTGGAGTGTGGGACTCTGGAGTGTGGGGCTCTGGAGTGTGGGGGCTCTAGAGTGTGAGGCTCTAGAGTGTGAGGCTCTAGAGTGGGGGGCTCTAGAATGTGAGGCTCTGGAGTGTGGGGCTCTAGACGAAGCAGGCAAAGATCAACGGACGCTCAAGTCAGTGGGTGAGAGTACGTCAAGTTTCGATATCGGCAAAGGCCTGAAAGTATCACTCACAGACTATTTCTTCATTATGAAAAAGAAAGGGTGTGACAATCAGGAGATCCGGACATCACTGCAGTCAGTGATCGAACTCGTCGTCGCCAAGAACAAACCCGCGTCAGGCACCTCAGGCTCAGCGGAGCGGGAAGTCCAGGGCACCCAGGGAGCACTTCTGACAAAAATGTTTTGGCTGAATCCAATCTTGAGGCAACGTAAAAATCCAGAATGTAAAACATTACAAGGTATTGGCCTGAACTTGTCAAAAATGTCAACGTCATGACGGAGGAGAAAAGGTGCAAAGTCTGCTCAAGATGCAGGAAGCCTAAGCGACCTGATAACCAAATCTTCAACACGTGAGCTCAGACCCGGAATTTGAAAATACGGGCACAAAAATGTTTAGGGGGAAACTGAAGAAATTTAACTGTGAACTTGGACTGGGCAATACTGCATCAATAGTAAAGTTCTGGGGCGCGCCGGTACCGTGGGGCGCGTGTGAAGGGCACCCTTGCTCAGAGGACACGAGGCTGTGGCTGTGAAGACGGAAGGATCAGGACATCTTCGTCACTGAAATGCTTCACCATCGAGCGCGGAGAGAAATAAAGAAAATGTGGCCCCAAAGTTACAAATTACTACATTCTGGTGCACAGTGCAGAATGTTCACTGACCTACTCTTTCGGTTTCTGTAGCTTCAAGAAGTTACTCAAAATTAAAAGTTGGGGGAGGAAAATACCAAAATCAATAAAGGGCAAATATAAATCTTTTAAAAATATGCCTTTGATGGGATGACCTAAAGTTAAAGTCAGAGGAAATTACTGTACCTTTAATTACTTCTCGACTTTTCCACTGACCAATACGGTAAAAAGCTTCTTCAGCAGGCTGGAAAACTTGGCACAATAAAATGGTCACGTATTTGTACGAGTATTGTTATTTCAGTATTTTTCAAAATCTAAAATGACACGATCAATACATTTCGGTTTTTAAGAGTGTACTTTTATAAATAAATGGATTACTATTTCGTTTTTAATGTTCGTATTTCACTTCTGTTTTAAGTGTTTAAGTATTATTTTTCCCAGCGTGGCGAGAGGCTTGCCCACAGAGATGAGCAGGTCTCACAGTGCGTGACCTTTCCCGAGGCCCAGCTTTCGGTTTCACTGCCTGTCTCCACCGTGTCTGTTTCTGAGTCCATGGATGTCTGTCGTCGTCTTCCTCCTGCCCGCTCTGAAGTCAGCGTGCCCTTCCAGTTCCTGAGGCGGCAGCGCAGCCCAGCGAGGCCTCGTCTTCTGCAGTGAGCACGGAGTCTGCGGATCCCCCGCCGGCGCTGCTTTCGTTTTCATTCAAATGAAAATATTTTCAAATTTCCATTGCGATGTCATCTTTGACTTGTTTAATTCCCAAATATTTGGGCATTTCCCATTTAGTGTTTTCTACCTAACGCGC